AAGAGGTTAGCAGAAGGTGCACTCTTGATGTCCACCTGCATCGTGGCCAAAAAAAATCTATGGCACCTTATGTTCACCCTTTTGTTTTTCTTCAGGTTTCTGTTTATTGTTGGACACAGATAACTATGCTGATACTTTTGTGATCAGTCTCTTGACTCTTGAGTATTTGTAATCCTGCACTTTTCTCCTTGTCCCTGCAGGATGAAGACATCACCCAGCCAGAGAGCATTTTGGCAGTAAGGTTGTTTCCTCCCTCTCCTTTTCAGCCACAGCGGGCCTTCCGTTGGCTTCTGATGCATTTGATGTCTAGATGATGCTACAAGGATATTTCTGCTGTTGGAACAGACAGACCAAGGGCTCTTTAAATGCCTTCCAACTCTGACTTTGTGACTGATATACTGTTAAATCCTGGGGGTGTTGGGGGTGGGATGATTCCTTGCTCCAACATTGCTCTCTGGGTAGACTGACTTTGCCGGTCTGCATAGACGAAGATGCCCGGGACTCTCTTGGTGTTAGGCCCCTCAACCATCCCTCCTGGCTATGGTGAGTGATTCAGGTAGATCTAGGTGGGAGAAGGCAATCTGCCAGGTATTGAGGTCCTAAACCGTTTAGGGCTTTATACACCATTATTAACACTTTGAAGTCGATGCAGAAGCGAATGGGCAGCCAGTGTAAGGCAGACAGAGTGGGGAGAGATATGCTGGTGCTTTCTCACCCCACTAAGGAGTCTGGCCGCCGCATTCTGCACCTTTCTGCATCAGTCTCAAAGGTAGCCCCACGTAGAGCGCATATGTACCAAAGATGTCCAGAAGAAGTTGTCATCGGAAATAACTGGCACTGCGTTTACTGTCTGTTTCTTCCTCCTCAGGCTGCAGTGGAAGCGGGCTTATCTGAAGGCCAAGCCCAAAAGCTTCTGGAAATGAGTACTTCACCTGATGTGAAGGATCGCTTGAAAGCAGCAACAGAAGAAGTATTAAAATATGGGGTGAGCCAGCAAGGAGAGAATGAAGGGGGCTCTTTGCCAAAAGGGCAGGGTGGGGAATTAAGAGGTACAACAGTCAGGAAGTGCAAATGCTCTGGTGAGCCACCAGATTGACCCGTGAGGTCGCCCTGGGGCCCTGTACCAGGCTGTCATCCCTGGCAAGCTGAGCCTTCTCATTTGTGCTTTACTTGCACTGCTCTTGATCCGTTACGGCACATTTCTTCACTGCCAGCATGAGACTTACTTCAAGATGAGGAAAAGATGTCCTTGGGAAACGAGTTGGCAAAGGTCTGGCCAATCTATTCTTTTGTTTCCTTTCGTATCGTAGAGCTTGTTCTCACGTACATGTTTGTGCGTCTCTGTGGCACCGTGTGATAATTCGGCACTCAGTGGCTTTTGGCTGAATCTGGGAACTACTGAAAATTACCGTGTTTGAACTAATATGGAATGGCATGCAAATTCTGTCTGCAGTGGCGTATTGGGTGCATGGAATCCTTTGTTGCCGTAACCCATGGTACTGACCACGCCCGCATTTGTTGTTGGCCCATAACTTAGAAAAATAGGAAACAAGTGTTTGTGTAGCATCCACAGAAAACCTGCTTTGCCTTCCTCCCTTTCCCCTGAAACAGTGTTTTGAAGGTAAGAACCAGACAAGGAGATGGGCTGCACTAGCATCTGCTGTGACAGACAGCTAACCACTAGCCGCCCGTTTTCTTTCGGATGTGTGGGCGTGAGCCAAGAAGATTTGCTGCCAACCAGGGCTGTGTTTGGTCTTTCCCTCAGCCTAGGCAAACAAGACCTTGAGGCGTCATCAGAGGATGCTTTCAAGCATTCTAACAGAGATGCTATGAAAGTTCAAGAGATTTGTTTTCCTTCCCATTATTTTTCAGGGACTAGGTACCAAATTTAACTTTCCAAAAACCTACATTGTGGCTTTTTAGAATAGATCTGTGCAGGTTAAATGTGCAGCCACCACAGCTGGGAGCCAGTTTGCACCTTTGAATTCTGCACATTCCTGTCTGCTACATCGAACTGGACACCAGAAGCACATTTTCCTTTCTTATCTCTTCCCCTTCAGGCATTTGGGTTGCCATGTTCGGTGATCTATGTTGACGACAAGCCCCAGCTTCTCTTTGGTTCCGATCGCTTAGAACTGCTGGCACACCTCTTGGGTGAGTGTTCTTAATCAAGAGACTTTTCAAGTTTATGGTTGGACAAATCAGTCTGAAGGAAAGTGTTGAACACTTGCAAATACCTTAAGAAACAACTGAATTTCTCTCATTTGGTTTAAGTGAGAAATAGGTTTCCTGCTGTTCATGCCCAGTCTAGGCAGGGTGTGTGTGTCCTCTCATCCAGGAATTTGTTTAGGCTGTCTTGAATTTGACCGGATTATCCATGGATTTTTGCAACCAGTGAATTAAGTAGATACTTTTGCTATGAGGTCCCTTGCTTCTGAACAACTTAGAAGAAATCTCCCAGGATATAGGGTTGGAAAATTCCGAATAAGCACAAAACCCTGTGTCCACTCAAGGTTCTAGTTTTGGTAATCTGAAACTCTTACACAGAGTTGTTGGTTTTTTATATGCTGTCATGATACATCTGGTGATCTGATGAATTGGTGACCTCCAAAAGGTCCTGTCATGCACTGCCACACTCCTGTCTCATAAATTGAAGGTAAAAACATGGATGTTTCGGCAAGCCTTCCCCCCAGTCAATTCCTGATCTCCCCTCTTTCCTCTCCCCCCTATTGTTTGCCCTATTTTGTTGATATGTTTTTATTATGTAAAAATTGTGTAGTTGTGAGTTGCAACAACTGGAGGGCAAAATGACCCTCATTCCCATTTGGTTCTTTGTAGCTGGCATAAGATGTGAGTAAACAACTTTGGTGTCAAGAGTGTCAGGCAGCCTCATATAGACCAGCTGAACCTCAACCACCTGAGCAGAAAACTCCATAAACTGTCCATACTTGAGCTATCACCTGGAACATTGTGACTGGAGAGGTTCTTCTGTCTGGAAGTCTTTAAAGCTCAACACCATTTTCTCAGGTCAGGGGTCATTAACAGTCTCCTTAGCAATCATACTATACTTTTATTTATTTCTTGTCACTACTTCCTCCTTATACAGTTACACATCCACATACTGCTTATGTGATCATATCGTTGATGTTGGTTCTGAAGGAAGGTGTGAACATTCATTAAATGTCTCACATATCTTAAACCTTATTAAAACCTTATTAGGGTTTATGTAAGTCGACTGAGACTTGACAGCATGTAACAGACAACAAAGAACGCATTCTGCTTTGGTTTTAAGTTGCTTAGTTTTCCGTTTAAGTTCATCTGTGTTTTAAGCTCTTGTTTGTGAAGGTTGCTTCTGTGTCACCTGACTCTAATTTGCTGTCTGGTTTGTTTTGCAGGGGAGAAGTGGCAGGGACCCGTTCCTGCATCCCCTAAGCTCTAAGCTTTAGGAGCAACGGGACGTAAAAGCATCAGTAGGAGACTTAGGGAGTGTCTGCCTTGTCAGCTTCCACATGGTCAACACAGGAGCCATAATGAGCAAATTGCATTTCTTCACTCTGGAACAGGGACACGCGAGACATTACAGCTTCTGCTACTGCAGTCATCACGTCTGTCTACAGTGCAATCTATGTCCAATAACGATGATCAAATTTCTGCTTGACCAGTGGCACCATGTATTATGCTATGGTGTGGGTCAGTAGGGTATCAAACCTCTGGATGTGCCTTAACATCGACATTAATGGGGATTCTTCACTTTTATCTGATTCCTATATAATTTTGTCATTTCTTTCTTTGCCCTTTAAAAACAATTGATACAAAAAAAAAATGTGTGAACCACTAGCATGATCAGGAGGCGGAAGCAGTGGGAAAGGTTATGGGTTACTGTGATTGCTCTGTGTGAGGTTACTTGTGGTGGAGCCGTAGGAACAGGAACATAAGGTGTGAATTAGCCATTTTTTTTTCCTCTGAATCACCACGATCCTTTTTACTTGACTGTTGTGAGATACAGGATTCCACGGATTACCCACTCAAAAGACAACGTGCACATAATTCCATTTTTTCTTCAAAAAAAGAAGAGGCGAAAGCAGTGGGAAAAGGGGATGGTTACAAAGATACACATCCAGTCACAGTTCCCGGAAGGATGAGATCCTTGTCTTCAAGCTTTACTGGTCACTGGAGAGATTAAGATGCTGCAGAGAACCGCTTGCTTTGCACCCCATTGAGCCGGAATAAGAGCTTCCAGCTGGCTTGTAGCGGTATTCAGACACACAGGCTGATTTGCGGGTGGATTTCAATTGAGTCGGAAAAGCAGTTCTCATCATTGTGCCTTCTATCCACACCAGTCTTTTCAACCTTGTTCTCCACTAATCTTATTATCCTGCTTTTCTTTCTTCTTGTGATTATAAAAAGATAACATATTTCTTTCAAGCTTGAATTAAAGTTCAGTTTCTTTCTTCAGCGACAGAAGTCAATAACCAGGGATTCCACTGGAGATGCCAGTGATGAAACCTGAAACTCTCTTGGCATCTCTGAGCAGCAGTCCCTCCATCTGATTGTTTGTCCTCACTTCCCTTCAATTTCCAGCTTTCACACAAGCCTTAAGTAATTTAAAATAGCCCTTTTTAGTAATATGGACAAGACATACAGTTTGGAAATCTACCAAATATGACAAGATGTACATTAGGTACTCTGAGTATTGTATGGCTCAGAAGCATTATCAGCGACATAGTTGAAAAGTAAAGGCAAAATTCGAAAGAGCTGCGCTCAGTGTCTATAAACTGCAGAACTCAAAGTGATTTTTAAAAAGTGATTGCCACGACCCCTTTTACTAAATAAAAAATTAAACTCAAAGTTAGTCCTTATTGTACTTAATTGGGCAATTATTACATTTCATTGTGTCATAAAATGCTGCAATCCTGTGTATGCTTGGGGCAGCCTTGTCCTGGCAGGTGTTGTATTTTGGGCAGTACAGTTAGGAATTCTTTACCAGCTCCAGGAACCATTTTCTTTGGGCTTGGTGAACATCCTTTGATTGGATCCTATTCAGAAGATTTTAGTCATAGGAAATGTATAGGATTGTAGTCAAAATAGCTCACTCAATGCAGTGTTGTGCTTCATGTAAAGACAAGAAGAGTGACCATATGGTTTAAAGTTCCTTGCTACAGAAAGGCAAGAGCAGCCTTAGAAGAAGGCAATCCAGAACCCATATTTGTATCCCAAAAGATTCAGGAAAAAAAGCATTCTGATAGCTGACAATAGAATTTGTGTATTGGTCATTAGTAGTCTTTTATTGCAAGCTGAAGACACTACAGACACAAGCATGTAACAAGGGGCGACAGAATCACATTTACAAGTTCTTGATGGCGCAGAGATTTGGAGAAAGAAGGGTGAATGTGGTACAGTGCACTACTGAACAAAGACCTAGGGAGTCCCATGAGTGATGAAATAAACACAACCCCCTTCTGCTCTCAGACACCTGGGTACTTTGGTGCAAATGTGCCTTACCATAACGAAACATTCCTTTTGAGGTGGACAAACCAGGTGTAATCCCTAGAGTGACACAATCTGCTTTTCAACTTTGAGGTCTTCCCTCAAAAAAGTGGATGCAGAAACAGCCTTGACAAAAAGGCTCTAGGAGATGTCCAAAATTTTCCAAGCTTGGTCTTGAATGCTTACATTTTAGCAGTGATAAGAACAAACAGAAAAGCACTCTGTTCTTGTTTGCTTCAGGGACTATGGCAGATGGGAGAGACTTCCTTTTTAGACACAGTTTGGTTCTCCCCTTCTGAGGTTATTGATCTGTAATGACACACATGGATAAGCAAATGCCACATCGGAACGTTGTGGTTGGTGACCTCCTTACTGCCTTTGGTGCAGCTATCATTGAATGAAGCAGAATAGCCAAATCAGATCAAATGACTCTGGGAAACCAGCATAATCTCCAAACCTCAGGGTGAACGGAGAGATCTCATTTCAGCAACAAATCCTACAAATGTAAAAAGGAAAATGGACAACTGAGAAGAGACAGACTAGGTGAAAGTTGTTGTTTAGTCGCTTAGTCGTGTCCGACTTTTCATGATCCCATGGACCACAGCACGCCAGGCCCTCCTGTCTTCGGGTCAAATTCATGTTAGTTGCTTCAGTGACACTGTCCAGCCATCTCATCCTCTGTCGTCCCTTCATTTGCCTTCACACTTTTCTAACATCAGGGTCTTTTCAAGAATAGGTGAAAATACTACTTCTTAAAATAACATTAAGCTGGGGAAAGTGCAGAAAAGGACAACCAGAATAATTAAAAGGTTACACAGTTTGATGGTCTTCAACTTCAAACTGGTTCTTCACATATTGCTCATCCAGATGTGTTGCACTTTGAATCTGAAACCTGATCATCAGCTGTTAGGACTTCAAGGGGGAAGTCCAAAACATCTGAAGGTGCATAGGTATATAAATTGGCGGGCATTATAGAAGTGTATAAAAGTTGTCAGAAGGCAAGAGGGATGCCCCACTCACTGGGGAGCCTGACACTGTCCAGCCATCTCATCCTCTGTCGTCCCTTCTCCTCTTCCCTTCACACTTTTCTAGCATCAGGGTATTTTCAAGAATAGGTGAAAATACTACTTCTTAAAATAACATTAAGCTGGGGAAAGTGCAGAAAAGGACAACCAGAATGATTAAAAGGTTACACAATTTGATGGTCTTCAACTTCAAACAGGAGAAAGGAGGAGAATCCCCAGCCAGCACCAGAACTTGCAGCAGAAATTCAGCAAGGGACAGAAACAGGAGTTTACTGAGAACTTGCAGGGTGTAACGGTGAGAGATGTCCAGGAGGAAAAGGCGGAAAAGAAAGGAAGAAGAGGGTGGAGTTTGAGGCAGGAACAGGGGAGGTAAAAAGGAAGGAGAGTCGATTGCTAGGCTGGGAATGGGTGTGGATGGAGGATCCCTCGACAGGATTATGGGAGAGGCTGAGAGTGGCTAAAGAAGATGCAGATTATAGAAGAAGAAGGGAGATGCCCTCTAGACCCTCTTGTGGAGAAGCAGAGGTGAGAGAGTGGAGGAGGAGGTTGAGAGAAGAGAAGGAAAGACCAGAGAAAGGAGAGAGAGGATAGAGTGGAGAATAAGAGATATGAGGAAGAAAAATTACAGGGAGGACCCCAGGAGGATTGAGATCCTGAGGGACGAACCCTGTGGAATGTCGATCGGGAGGATGAGACCGTGCCCTTACTGGAAGGTTTGACAGGGCAGACCATGAAAATCTGGGCCCCTGCTGATTTACCGGGACCATGGAACAATAGTTATGGCAACCTGTTCCTGTTTGAAGATTGAAGACCCCTTCCAGACCCGTTGGCAGAAGGAGAAAAGACTCAGAATCGTGTCACTGACACTTGTCTACTATTAAATGCACCAATAAATATTTCACTTGTTTTGAAGCAACAAAAATCTACTGAATTTTTTGAACCGAAAGAGGAGCCTAAAACCGAACCCTCACAAAAGTATGCAATATGTTTGAGGGAAAATGAGAATGAAGTTTTTGTGTATAAGAGAAATGGGGCACTACAGCTACCTTTACAAAGGCAAAATTTAAGTAGAAGGGAATTGGAGTAAAGCCTAGAACTTCACTAAGAAAAATGGAATGTGTAGATGTTAACACTTAGCTTTTACCAGGAAGGTATGCCAATACTTCTTTTTATGTTGTGACAACTGGATTTTGAATTGTAATCATGCTTCTTAAATCTGATAGGGAGGCAGAATGTTAAATATTCTCTACTAAAAAAATTGTTCTTCATATGCTCAGAGGAACTCAATATTTCTGATTAGGAACTCTCCACCTTCGATTCACTACTGGTCTCTATCGCTGTACTGGTGTCTACTGGGACCGGCTCCAATCCCCCTGCTGGGGAGAGGGAGCTTTGCACCTCCCCAAGATCCACACTGAGATTCCTGCCCCCGTTGTTCACCTGTAAATGGGGGTGTTGGCGCTGCAGACACGGACAACACCGTGGAGGCCATGTGTCAGCATGGAGGGCTGAGGATTTAAGGGGGGAGGAGGAGGATTGTTGGTGTTTGAGGCTCAAGAGGTATTGGCATTGCCAGTACCGTAGATGGCCAGCTGGGAAACAATCCACATTGAATCCCCACTTAGCCATGGAAACTCACTGGGGGAGTGGTAAAATCACTCTATCTCACTTACCTTGAAAGCCATATTAGAGCTGCTATAAGTTATACAGAATAAGCTCCAAAGCGCCAAGCATTCCCAAGAGTGTGCACTAGCAATGCTTAGAGGGAACTGAAGGAACGACCATTGGGTGGAGCAGTATATTGGAGAAGGGAAGGGTAAAGTTCTAGAATGTTCCTGAGAAAACTCACTGGGGGAGTGGTAAAACCACTCTAGATATCTCACTTACCTTGAAAGCCATATTACAGCTGCTATAAGTTATATAGAATAAGCTCCAAAGCGCCAAACATTCCCAAGAGTCTGCACTAGCAATGCTTAGGGGGAACTGAAGGAATGACCATTGGGTGGAGCAGTATAGTGGAGAAGGGAGGGGTAAAGTTCTAGAATGTTCCTGAGCTTGTTTTGTACAGGTGCAGAAGTATCTGTGTGGTGAACAACTCAAGCTTCAAAACATACATACATAAGGGAGAAGCACAACCTCCTAGTAACATCTGACAGGAAGCTTTTACAAAAGTTAGTTGTTTATTTCTATTAGGTGACAGAATAACATGGGCAATTAATTGGTCCAGTTAAAATTTTTGATAGCTTATTGGCCATTCTGAAAAAGCCATCCCTCACCCCTAGCAGAGTTTGGATGCACTTCCAGAATGGTCATTCCATTCCAGGGGCAATAATTTCATGCTGGAAAATGAGGCTATGCATTGTAGGCGGATGGAAAGCAAGAAATTACAACTTTAGGAAAAAGGCAGACACTTAATCTACCTTTCCCAGTCCTGCCAATCCTGACAGTTCTCTGGGGTTTCAGGTAAGATTCTTCCTTAGCCCTGCCTGGAGATCCTTGGTGGTCTCCCATCTAAGTACAAACTAGATCTGCCTCTCTTTAGCTTCCAAAAACAGAAAGGATCAGGTGTGTTCAGAGGTGGTCCACCGTTTTAACTGTTAATACAAAGACATCAGGGAAACCAACTAACCCTAACCATCTGGAGGTGATTTTTATGAAATGGCATCAACATCTCTCCAAACCACCACTGAACTGTTCAAGCCCTCTTGGGACAGTTTGGGAGAGGGAAGAGATTGACATCATCACATGGCCCATCTGGTTCACTCAGAGAAGTTAGTTTACTTTGCCTTCTTGTGCTTCACTAAATTTATGGAAGGACATCTGGTATACAGACATGGGATGGATTTCAAAGGAACACAGTGGATTCAAAGGAGGCAAAATCTTATGGCATCTCCTGTGGTCCCTGAAACACTCTATGAAGTACCTGCAGCTAAACAAAGTTGTCCACCAGAGTCAGGCACGGTAGTCTGCCTATTATTTCCTCTACTCAGTCTGTGAAGCTGACAGGACAGATGGGTATCTGATGGGCTTCCAAAGGGTTGTACTTATTTATTTATTTATTTTGCAAGGCTGGAAAAAAAACCTATAAATACTATCTTTGATGAGTCAGTGTTCAAGGGGCAATTAACATGTCACCTGGAGAACTGATTATAAAGATATCAGAAAGAGCAAAGGAGCTGCAGGTTTTTAATTTACCCACACCCACCAGCAAATCCGAGTACTTCACACTTCCTTGGAAATGTAAAACTGACAAAGATTGCATAACCTACTAATGGCAGGCAGAAAGCAAGAGAGAACGAGGAGCAGAAATACATACAGAGATAACTAGCCAGTGAGCAAAAAGATGGTTTAGCAAAATAATAAAGCCATAGCAGCACAGGGAGATGGGCAAGAGAAGGGCACTGTGGGATCACGGCAATATCAGAGAACTGGCCAGGAGCCTTTCTGGTGCTTGGAAAACTGTTTATCAGACAATCATGTCTGGTAGGGGTTCAAATCAGTTTTTTGAAGGGACCGGTCCAAATTGCTAGGAGGGTCCCAAAGGAAAGGTTTGCGAAGTGCTGTGGGACCGGGAAGAGTACAAAACCAGGAAAGATTAACTTGGGATCCCTGCTCTTCATTCTTTCACAAGGGTAAACAGAAGGTTACAAAAAGACTTCTCCCTTTCCCCACAAGCCCTTCTCCTCCGCACCGAGACTCCCTAGGATGCAGATTACCTGTGAATTACCCAGCATGCACTGAGACACCCCTCCAGCGATGACATCACACACAGCACAAAATGGAGGCCTGTGAAATAAGGAAGTGGCAGTTTCTTTAACATTCTTCCCTTTGACCCTGGGTTTCCTGCATCACAAAGAACCCCCAGAATGCACGAAGAACCCCTAGATCACCTCCCTGCTTCCTTATTAACATGGAAAAAGGTTAACATACTGGGCTGTAACGCTGAGCATCCACTTTACTGCCTTTCCCCTTCTCCATGGAGCCTGAAGCACTGCTCGAAGGGAGCAGCTGAGTTACTGAAAAGAAACAGTAGAATAACAACAGAGGATTAAATCAAGAGATTTCCAAGGCATGAGATGTACCCTTTCCTCATTCCAAAACTGCAGAGACATTTCTGGACTTGTTGCATCCTCTGGGCAGGGATCACGAACCCTCTTGCTTGCCTTCTGCCTGTCCCTGTGTCTACCTAGGTACACTATGGCCTGTGGCAGCTACGTAGATGTCAGAGGATGCAGAGAGGAATCCCCACCACCTGGTGGAGTAGAAGAGAGGAGAGAACAATGAACTGGCAAGTTGCTGTAAAAGGCTGGCTTCAACTGGCTAGCAGATCCAAACACCTTGTGGAAAAAGTATAGAAAAGAAGTCTCCATAACAATGGTTCCCAGCCTTGGGTCCTTAGATGTTCTTGGACAGCAACTCCCAGAAGCCTTCACCACTCGCTGTGCTGGCTAGGGCTTTTGGGAGTGGCTGTCTGATAACACCTGGGGACCCAAGGTTGGAAACCACTGTTCTATAGCAATGAGGCTCCTTCCTCTGACAGAACATGGAACGTCCATCACTGAGTCCATGTGAGTGAGGAGAAGCAGATCTATCTTCAAGGAACCTTGGGGAGAATACAGGGGCACTGACCAATGTATTTATTTAAATAAATGTATTTATTTATCATTATTAATTTGTTTAAAATATTTTTACCCTGCCTTTCTTCTTAAAAGGACCCAAACATGGAGCATTCCATCCCAAATTAGAAAGATATTCTTCTAGACCATTCAAGGCAGTGGTGTTAAAAGTTTATTTTCCTGTTTTAAAAAAGGGATGAAAAAGTTAAGCAGAATTGTTTGGGATTAATTGGATATTGTAAATACAATCCCCCATCTGCAAATTGTAAGAATTTCTCCACTTGCGGGCTGCTTTCATTATAGCTACAGAAAGTTATGAAAATTCCTGGACCAAACTTTTCAGCCCAGCAGAAGCACTAAATGCTGCCGAGAAATCTAACAGAGTAAGATTTTCTCCATATGCTCGATATAGGTCATCTACCAAGTCAACCAAGGAAATTGTAATCCACACACAAGGCTACAAATTAGATTGAAATGTATCTAAATAATCAGCTACATCCAGAGCTTCCTGAAGCAGAGATGCCACTATCAGCTGAAATCCCTTGATGCAGGGTGATACTAATTCAATTCTTTTGAGTAGACTAGATTTCCCTAAGAAGGGGGTTGCACTACAGCATCTTTCATGGCTGCAGACATATCATATATTGACTGCTTCTGAGTATCCTGGTACCTTTGATAAGCCAGGATTTGTACATGTTGAGCGCACACATGGTTAGTGTCTGTTCTTCATCTGTGAAGTGTGTTATTAACTGATCACAGAAAGCCATCCACCATTTCAGCCATCACCCTGACAGGCTGGCAGGTGAAGTATGGTTCCTCCATCTGGAAAGCTCCACTGGCTGATATAGTGGACACAAATACACAGAGGATTTTTGCCTCCTTCCTTCATGATACCTGAACTTAAGCTCCACTGATGAAGCTGAAAGGAAACAGATTCAGAAAAGGCAGGAGAAAGAAAGTGCTTCTCTATCCAACACGGAAGTCAGTTTGTAGAACTTGCTATCAGGGGTTGTGGGAATGTTTGTTAGCTTTCTGCCAAACTGAATGACATAAAGGTGCAAACAGACATGTAATACAGCTCAATATATATATTTTTAACCCATTAAAAGAAATCCCAATTCAGAATGGGACAATTAGGTTGGGGGGGTTTAAAATGTTATCTCATGAAATAGCATCAGGCTCTGAAGTATATTTCACAAATAAATATATTTGTGAAATATAACAGCACCTTACTTCCCTTTTCTCCATCACACTATTAGAGCAGTGTCTCCCCCCCCCCTCTTTTGCTATTGCTTGGTAGGTCCTGGAGGAAAGAAGAGGCTGAACTAAAGGCTGATTTAGCCAGGCTTTCATCACATCCTTTCCTAAGCCTACAAGTCCATCCTCAGTGCCTAGTGTATTTTGTTATTTCTTTGACTATTCCAGTTCTCAGTCAGGGCAGATCTTAAGAATCTCTAAAGAAATCAATCTCAAACTGGCCCCATTTTTAGGCCAGATATGAGGGATATCATGGAAGATATTCTGCCTACTTAGGAATAGGCCATCATGCCCACCTCTTATAAATGAGCCTTAATTAACAGTTCCTTCCCCTACACAAAGGCCCCTGTCCAATTATTGCAGTGTGGGATGTGGAGACCCATCAAGTCTTTATAGTACGAAGGAGAGTGCAAGGGTAGTGCATCCACTGAAACTAGTAAGGCTCTCCTAGAACACACAAGAACTCATTTTAGTCTTTACCTGGTGAGCTGGTACTGCTGGGTGTACAGACACTATCATCTAACCAGGAATTCTGAACCAGAGAGTCCTGCTTCTGGGGACCTTCAAGGGAACACATCAACTCCTGCAGAAGAGAAATAGGAAGCAGGCCTTACAGGGCAGTTTCATGCTGTTATCAACCCAAATTTGGAATTATTCATGTAAAAGAGATCTAAAAGCCATCACACTAACCGCCTCATTTTCCTCCTCCTCGGAAGTTTCATTCTCTCTCACTCCACTACAACAGCTGCTCCCATTGGATGAAGAACGAGACAGAGGTTGCATCACGCAGTAACCTGATGTCTGGCTGGAAAGGGCTCTGCCGAAGGAAAATGAATTCCAAATCATCGCCTTTGCCATTTGTTCAACTTAAATGTTTATATCCCCCCTTGTGGCAAAACCTCACTATACAGTAGAGAAGTCTTAGAGACTGCACAGACTTAAGGGGAAACTACAATAACAATTAATGTGGAAAATTCTCCAGGACTGAGACAGCCTGATTTATATTATGTTCCGTTGACTACATGATGTACAAGTCAATGTGAATCAGTTTGGAGTTTCCCCCACCAAAACTGTAATTTTTTCCTCCAACATCACAGCTTCTACTTTTGTTCCTAATTAAATTCATCCACATTGGCTCAGGCAGTGTGATCGCCTGAGCCGATGCAACTTCAAAACCAAATGGGCAATCAGATGCTGGCTTTCTCAGCTTGCTAGTTTAAGACAGGGAGATAAAAAGCAATGGGGCATTTTCAGAAGTGTTCAATTCACCTTAACTGAGCACTCCTTGTCTCCAAACTATTTTTCTTATGGACTTAAAGAAAGCATTGGTGCACCAGGGGGGCTGGAAACTAAAGGGAAAAAAAGACTGGGGTGTCAGTAGAAAGCGGGGAGGAAACTGCTTGTTAAAGCAGCTTCAGGCAGCTTTGGCAGCTTGTTAACATAGCCCTTTGACACTTGTTTAGTTCTGATGTAGCTTTGCCTCCTGCAAATCTAGAGGGACAATGCAGTGTTACTTTAACAAGCTGCAAGCAGGGCAGGTTGACAAGTTCCTCTTTTCTCCCTTCTGACTTCTGTTTGTTCGGCTAAATCAAACTCACCCAGAGAAACCTGATTTCCCAGGTGAGACTTCACAGACTATTTGCATTTTTCCTGCTGGTTAGTCACATCTTTACTCTGGCCAATTGGTTCATTAGAGACCAATATACTTAGTCACCGTGTCTTCTATTGTATATTATATGGTAGGATCAATGGTTTTTGTCCACGCTGAAATCTTCTCACACCTACCAGTCTTCCACCAATCTCTTGTTCTGAACTCACTTTGTCTTTCTGTTGGGGAATTCTGGGGAGCTGGGGCTGGAGGAACCATCCGATTTGAGGTCAAAGAAGGGCCCTGGACTCTCCAATACCTTCGGTATCCTTTCAGCAATGTCTTTGCTGGGGAGAAAAGAAAAACATTTTACTATCCAGAGTAAGCATTTCTTCTATTAGTTTTGTAAGACATAACTACATATTCTTCTCGGAAGGACAGGGACAACATGGATCCCTCAAAAGCTCATTAGAGGAAGGACTGGCTCTCTTGATAAGTTATCACAATATGTCCTGACAACATCACTCAACACTTAAATATGCGAATACTATAGATATCACCAGCACTGTATTTTTTGCTAGATTACTATGGCCAAAATCCTATTGCACAACTATACACATGCAACTTAAAGTTGTGTGCACGGTAGCTGCATTATAGCCAAGGTGGAAGTGTTATCTCCTAAGCACTTCCACTTGTGCTTTGCACAATCGATTGTGCCAGGGACAATCAACTACACAATTCCATCATGCAATGCCTTCTTGCCAGTCTTAACAAAAGGCACATGTAGTGGTCTATCACTGAGATATACACGGTCTGACTCTGGAGATCCAAGGTTGGAAACCACTGGGATAACCTGACAGGTTAAACCCAGGAAGAGTTTTGCATACCTTTTAATCTGGTGGTCAGCTATACTTATTAGAATGGTCAGAGACAAGGATTTTTACATTCAGGTCATTTTAAATGATCTTAGTGTAACCTGTGGTTTGCAATTAAGATACAGTAAAGATGAACAAAGGCATTTTAATATTTAGAGGCAACATGTGAACTGAAACATCAGTTTTGTATTAATCAAAATAACAATAATGCCTCTCTCACACACATACACACACAGAGACACACACACACCAAAAAACAGAATTATCAAGATATGGGGGAAATTGAAACTGACACATCTTGCGCAACCATACACAAACATTAATTAAAATCAAAACTGAACTGAGTATTTTCAATAAAAGTTAGTATTTTATAAGTTGGGTTTTTACTCCACCAGAAGCCTATCGTACTCTGGACATATCATGACAGGACAAGACTTGCTGGAGAAAGAAATAAGGGCAGACAAAGTGGAAGGTAGTTGGAAAAGAGGAAGGCCTGACATGGGATGGATTGACTCAATAAAAGAACCAACGGCCTTTGGTTTGCAAGGCCTGCGCAAGGCTGTTAATTACAGTACCTTCATAGGGTCACCCTAAGTGGAAGCAACAACTGTAAGAAGTGGGTCACCTCCTTATCCTAAGCACATCCATTAAGACTCAACACTGACTTAATATTAAAGGAACATCATATTTTATTTTAAAGATTTTATCTCTCATGGTTCTAAGGAAAAAGAAACCAATTCAAGATGAAAACGATGGTGAAATTAGATGCTACAGAGTGCTTCTTACAAGCCACAATTCCTTTAGTCAAGTGTTAAAAGACATCTAATTGTCATCACACAAGCTTTCCAGTTTACCCACAACTTGCAAATTAGTTTGTTCTATGACAAGTCATCTGCACAGACATCATCTGCACTCTGATTATTCCAATAAAAACCTTAGTGATCTCCTCCTTCAAATATAAATATAAATATAAATATGCTTTTCTATTCTAACAACCTGCAAATTACACTGTAAGGATAGAACTTGAGTGAGACAAGGGAACTTCCAATTTTATCTTCTACTTTCTACAAACTAGTGGGCCACATGTTGGCACAAGTTGGCAAGTTTTTGGTGGTACTTCCTGCTGAGCAGATATGCATGGCTGCATGACTGTAAGTGATGCTCAAACACCTTAAGCCTTGCCAGGATCTTATGCTCTGGCATAAAAGAAGATGCTAAAATGTTATGTTTAATACTTGGTTCGGCAAATAGAGAAGAAATGCTACCCCACTTGCCAACTCACAAGGGCCTATTTACTTGAACTGAATGAGGAGACATATACAGGGATGAGCTGTCAATGGAAAAATAGGATATAAAAGGAGTTCCATTTGTGGCACTTGAACGTCAACAGTCCTCTGGGAGGATGGGGTATATGGAACCGCACCCCGCCCTTCCTCTCTTGTTAACAAAAGGTCTTTAGTTCAAACTGGGTAGTTATATAGCCTTTATTAAAAAAAAAAAAGCTTGAGACACAGCCATACATGTCATTCCTAAAATATTCTTGTTGTCACTGCACAATCTCTTCCTGGGCATTTTATCTCAAATTGTAAACAGCAATTGTTAGCAAGAACTTAACTAGACATAGTTCACATTTACCACCAACCCTGTTCAGGGGGCAAGCCAAGATGGCTGAGAGTTGAGTGAGTTGACAGTAAACCAGCGGAAGCTCTGCTGAAACCAAATCCCTCCCAGCCTAGGAATGCTGGACATTTCTAAGGATTGCCCTGATCGTAACCTAAATTTGTGCCAGCATAGTGACTGGGAATCTGGGCTGAGAAGGGTTTGGATCCAGTGTAAGTGAGCTCCGTGCCTGCTCCATTCCTTTTTTTTGGCTCATCTGCTGACTCATCTCAGCCAGCACAAGGGCACCTGTACTGGCACAAAAGGCTTTAAGCATTCCCAACTTATGACAACCAGTACATCAAGCTTGGACTGCACTAGCAATCATTTTAAAACACAAATACAAGTGGTGCCTCGCATAACGAGCGCACTGTTTAATGACGAATCCGCATAGCGATCTATTTTTTTAGATCGCTAATGCGATCACATTGCAATGTTTTAATGGGCAAAACATCGCATTGCGATGATCGGTAAACGTTTCGCATTGCGATTTTTTTTAAATTTGTGCCAGCATAGTGACTGGGAATCTGGGCTGAGAGGGGTTTGGATCCAGTGTAAGTGAGCTCCGTGCCTGCTCCATTCCTTTTTTTTGGCTCATCTGCTGACTCATCTCAGCCAGCACAAGGGCACCTGTACTGGCACAAAAGGCTTTAAGCATTCCCAACTTATGACAACCAGTACATCAAGCTTGGGCTGCACTAGCAATCACTTTAAAACACAAGTTAAGTGCAAATAAATACAATTAAGCACAACTGAGTAAGTTGTCTATGTTAATGTTGGCTGTAGAAGACCACACTCCACAAATCCTTGTCCTGCCTTTTCATTGCTGTCTACCAGATGCCTCTAATGAAGTGGTTCTCCAACTGGGGTCCCCAGATGTTCTTGGACTGCTATTCCCAGAAACTTTCACCACTTGCTGTGCTACCCAGGATTTCTAGGAGTTGCAGTTCAAGAACATTTGGGACCCAAGTTCAAGAACCACTGCTCTAACATATAACTGAGAAACATGAAAGGTGACTTGGGCAGGAAGAGGGAGTAAAGAGAGTGTTAGCATATCCTTAAATGCAAACACACCGGGTTCTAGAAGTATGGTATTTGCAAAAACATTTAACAATGCAATATTTTAAGATGAAGCATCAGTCTGATTTGGCTCATTACTTTAAGGCATCCTCTTGTACATTTTTACTCCTTGAGAAGAATTTGGAAACATACTTAAATCATATCCAACACACCAAAAAGTAATAATCAAAAACCAAATAATACAAATAAATTCAATATTTCAAAAAATGATGGCCCACCTCCATTCAGCTCTTTAAAAACTGATAAAGCATTTTAAAAAGCATAACTTTTTTTGTCTCTTCCATCTCTTCGGACTTAAGTCATAAATCTACTGAAACCCTGCCCATACTAGAGCATCACTGTGCCTTCTATCATTTTGGATGTTGCTGAAAAATATATTTCATCACAAACAACACTGAGATAAAGAAAATAGCTACAGATACTGTAGGAAACTATGCATATACATCTATTACACCACTTTTACCCATCCTCTTATGTATCTACAACTCCAGGCACTGGGTTCTCCTTTTTAGCCATTCTCCCACTGAATCTACTCCCATGCCTTCTCTAGAAATTTGTAAAGGTTTATTTTTGTTGCATGACTGGTCTAAGAACTTTAACAATAAACTGAACTGAACATGTATCTTCAGAGTGGATTCCCATCTTCTCAGAGATGCCACATGATGTTCTCCTAATGCTGCTGCTTCTAGAGTTTTGTTCTTCATTTATGGACTACTAGTTTGGGAAGTATATAGTTCCATACCTTTTCTAAAGCTCTTCTTCTCTTTCATTTCACAACAAGGTATCAAGATTATTTTAGAGCCAGAGCGAGGGTTAATCCGGAACGGATTAACCTCGCTATGCGAGGCACCACTGTATTTTAGAGCCAGTTGCACAGAAATCTAAAAACTCTAGAAATATTGCATGACAGCTTCAACATGGCTGATTACAGGAGATCTTGAAGAGCAAGCAATGGCTCCCTGAGATGAGGGGTCAAAATGGAGAATGCACACAGAGGAAGAGAACAAGGTCACCAAACTACACCATTAAGCAGGATGGTTCATGGACCAAAATGTGAGTGGGGGGAACCTCCTGTTCCAAGGATGATGCACCAATTCTACATTATTGTCAAAGTCTCTTTAGGCTTTCCCATAACATCTGAGCTCATAGCTCATAAGAATGGGTTAAGGTTATGACTAAAATGATTTTCATAACTCAATTTGTATAAAAGGGTTATTGCCTCAAATATAACCATAATTGGCAATAATGTCTCATTTGAATAGCTTACACACAGACCAGTTAATGCATCCGAGAGAGCTGCTGTCATCTCACTCTCCCATTCACTCTGCCCATGCTCTTCTAGCCTTGCTTGTTCCTTGTGCTATGCATACCTCTTCTCCTCTTGGATGTTCTCAATGCCAATGGCACTACTACGTCGCCCACTGAAGCGGCTGCCTCTGTTGCGTGACGGGCTTCTCCCCGGCAAGGCAAAGGACTAGAGGGGAGGAAAGGACAGAAGGAAAGGGAGAGAGAGAGAGAGAGAGAATAGTAGTAGTAGTAGGACAGAGGTAGAGAAGCCAAAGCTGAAGGAAGAACATAAGATGGAAGACTAGACTCCCCACCCCATCTTAGTACTATTTTCAAGTACTAAGACTTCTAGTCTGTCCAGACCAGAGCATGATGTGGGAACATCAAAGCAGATAGAACAGATGATGAACCAGGAGATGATGGGAGAAAGAGAAGAATAAAAAGAAAAGGAACAAAACACATGAGACTAAAATGGAAAGAAACTCATAGTCATGTATGGGAAACTGAAAAATGCCACTGAGACAAGTGAAAATAGGTACTTAGAGGAAAGAAAAACAGAGAGGAAAGCTGTGCTGCTCAATGGATGGCCAAACTAGACCTTATGGTCAAATGTGATGCTGCCTGCTGCCACATGTGCCACCCTGATGCAGCACCCTCCCGCTAGAACTAACTCCTCCCTGTCCTATCTCATGTTACAAGGCTCCTTTCTCCCCCAACCCACCTATCAGGAGCAGCCAAAGATGTGGACTGGACAGGGCCATGACGTAACAGCATGAGTGTGACAAAAGGAGAGGAAGACACTAAATGCAGTGGCTGTGCATTTACTCTTAATAAGTACAGCAGTTTGGCCCACAGAGCAAGAAAGAAAAAGAAATGGCAGGGAAGTGCAGATTATTCCTTTCCCCGTTGCCCTTTATCATTTGGGCACTTCTCCTTCAACAATTCCCTCTTCTTGCACATAAGCCATTCCTTTTCTCTTAAGCATTTCCTCCAAGGGGGAATTACTCTTCCTGAACATGCTGTTTAGAAACTTTAAAGTTCCCAGAAATGATCCGAAAAGGAATAAATCAGCACCTTTTGTCATTCATCGGGAACCATGGATTCCGCCAGTGCTACCTTTAACACTGCTGTATAACAATTAGAGATTAATGCTATCCCCAAGGACAACAACTGACACATCTGACTGAGCATTTTGGTATCCTGAGGAGCAGCAATTCTAGCTATGAGTCAACACCAACTTCTGATGTTTACTTTGCTCACTATTCCCAGACGTATGTGGGAAAATTAAGTGTTAAGAAAAAGGCACCATATGCCATTCTGTTTATTATTCCTGGATTGAAGCATGGCCCCAAAGCAGAGCGAATGCTTTGCAAACCAACAATCCCCAGGTCAGCTCCCAGCATCACCAGGGACTGTGACCAACTCTGATTAAGCTTTCGGACTGGAAATGAATCCACATAGATATGTTTTCCACATTACACTTGCAATTAAAGTCACAACTGACAAATCTCCCTGGTGACCTCTTCATCACATGTGTTCCATGCCTGTGTCTAAGAGACAATGTTCTCTTGGATAATGAGAATCCACGCTACACAAGCTCAGCACTAGTGCACTGGAAAAACAAATGCAAATGAAAGAACAGTCGCTAGCTACTCATCCTTCCCTTTCAGACATGACTTTATCATATTCTGTCATTCACTGAAGAACCTTGGCATTATCAGTCATACTTCTTGAAGGAGCTATAGATTCCCACCAGATTGTTCAGTATAGGCATGTGCACATATGTTATATCCAGACTCTACATAAAAAGGATCTCCATTATTCAAGGTTTTTCTTTTTTTCAGAGAGGACAGAATCAGTACATAAGCAATTTCAGACCCAGACATGGAGGATCAGGGAAATGAACACTGAGAGATGAAAAAGAAATAACCACAAAGGAGAGCTTCGAAAGAACACATTGGCCAAAATCCTATGGCACAGTTACGTAAAAGGTGTAACTTTTAGCCGTGAATTGTTGTATGTTAAGAAATCTCTGTAGGCATGATCTGTTACATACGGAGTCACAGAGTTTTCTTAATTTACAGCAATTAGCTCCTAAAATTGTGTAACAGGATTTTGGCCATAACAAACCCACATGCAATGCATTTGTGAGCCACAAGGGCACCACAATGTCCTAATGTCCTTTTTTCCCTTAAAGTATGGGAACAAGAAAGAGTTTTTCAAAACTTAAAGACCACTCTCTTTTTTAGGATGGTGGGGTAGATGGCCTTTTTTCTATTTTTAACCACCCAATAAAATATTACTATCGCATTACTCCCTCATTGACACCTACTACTAATGTGAATACGGTATATTTATTTTTAAAGTACTATCTGCTAACACGAACACATTAGCTGTTTCTTGTAATGTTCCCAAGGAAATCCAGTATGTTGCCGTAGACAGAGTGGTGGACTAGGTCTCAGGACACCTAGATTCAGATCCCAGTTAGGCCATAAGGGCAATGGAAAAACCGCTCCTTAAATATTTCACATGTCAGGATTCCCATAAGTCAGATGTAACTTGATGACACACAACACAACATTTTAAGCCCTGCCACAAAGACACTCAACAGAGAACTGACAGAAAATGTCTACAAGCAACAGATTCACAGGCAATATGGGGGGGGGGTACTAAAGACATTCTGGTCCCCATGTCTATGAACCCCAATAGCTTACCGCAGCAATAGCCTTGGGGCACTCGGCGACACTTTGGTTGAGAGCAAGGCCAGCAGTAGCTGGGCGGTTGGGTGGAACCGGTGGCTGCTGCTGTTTCCTCATGGCTATCCCCATGGTATCCAGGCTTTGGCTACGGCCCCGGATCACCCGCTGGAGAGAAGGGCAACAGGAAGACAGATACAGACATGTTCACAGACACACAAAAGGACACCATGAAGAGTGAGGAGGGCAGAGGGAGACGGGGAAACCAACAGCCATATTACTTGTACCGCCTTACAAACAGTAGATAGGGTATTGTTTCCAGCTTGCTAGTGCATAGACCCCATTTGAACCAAGCTCATCTATATTCTTTTAAGGAATTCTCTCTTCAAAAGCAAAATATTTCCTCCCAGTTTCTTACTGTCCTTCTTTAAGCAAGACCGTTTTCCTAATCTAATCCTAATTCTTCAGTACGCAACCAAATGTATCCCACAGCTGGAAGCACACATTAAGAGAGCAAGTTTTCACTACTGGAATGGAGTTTGTCAAAACAAATGTAACTCGATTTTCTGGGCTTTCACCTTCTACACACCAAGAATCTGATATACCCTGCCCCCCAATGAACTGAACCACTCTGGAAACCAGGTAAAGAATTCACTTTTATAGTGCCTCCCTAAGGAGGAGCAAGGGGAAAAAAAACAATAAATAGAAAACTTACATAATAAATATTAAGGAGATTAAGGAGGGGGTGGACTGGCCTAGAACCTATCTCACTATTTCAGTTTTAATTTTGCAGATATTTATTTCATTTTAATCTGTGCTAAGCAGTCACCAAACACTCCTTCAGAACATTAGGATGGAGGCTTCTTCTCTTCAGTAGGTAATTACTTTTCTCCATTGTCTGTTTGTCATCTGTTCAAACATTTAATAGCTATTATCATGGATGAATTTATATGCATCTGTTCTTACTAAGAAATGTCACCATTAAAAACGGACATATTTTTCTAGGATTTCAACTCTGTTTTCAAGATAGGGGCCAAATTCTATAAAAATTATTATAAAAATCAGAGACGTTATCTTACAATAATGCTTCTTCTTCGGAAGAACTCTATACACTAGGAATGTGCCATTCTTTTCATGACTTAGTGTTTGGGAGTTTGTTTGTTTTTACCCCAAATGCCAGAAAACTCTTAAGAATTCCCCAAGCACAATTCTAGAAGTTCCAGCTGACAAACACACAACTAAAAAAAAACACCTCCATTTCACTCACCTGAAGAAAGGCTGAGGCCTCTTCTAGGCCTTATTTCCTGCCCCAATGCCTCCTGGGAGGAAGCCCCTGAAATGCTTCCTGGAGGTGGTAGTTCTTCAGGAAGCACCCTCCTATACAGCACAAGGGGCAACAATCCTATTATACCCCCACAGGAAGCGTTGGGGAAGGAAATAAGGCCTAGAAGAGCCCTCCAGTGTTTGAAATAAAGTGTCAGGAGGTCTGTGCTGTGGGCTGGAACTTCAAAATTCTGACTGGGAAATTACTGAAGAATACTGGGATTTGGATTCCAGAAACAACAAATGGTATATCTCCAAGTATACATTTGGTTTTATATTTTATTAGTGATACAGATTTTTTAAATTTTTCTCATATGAAAATAGTTACTTTTGCTCAGTCTGCTGTATTACTTTCAATTATCACTTTCCTGAATTCCAGTCACCGAAAATCTAGATATCACTCTATAAACACCAGATTTAGCATGAAACGATCCACTGTGGTGTTGCTTTTTTCTCTTTTCTGCACTCACCCCAAACTGAACAAATACCTTGGTTCAATTAATTTTTGCCCATTTGTCTAAAGACAGTGCATATGCCTAATTAAAACTTGTTCCTCTGTAACCTCAGACTGCTATTACTGCATCACTTTCAATTTCCTTTTCCGCAATTCAAATCACTAACCATCTTTTTTGTCCTACAAATGCCAAATGGGATACGGATTATCTGTTGTGTTGTTGATCCACCTCAGAGATGAAGAACGACTCCTTGTTGACAGCCGGCAGGACTGGTCTAGACAAGACAGCTGTTATGCCCCCATTTCTTCTCCTCTGTTTTGAAACAATGTGGGTTCTACCTGGATATACCAAGAGTCATCTCTACAAGCTACCCTTAACACTACCACCAATGCTGGAACAAGTTAGATAAGAAGGTCTCTTTGTAAAGTGGGAATTGAGATCAAACACAGTAAATTCTGTCAAACTAACGCTTGGAGGTTCTGCGAAGGAGATCAAGAGCCGTCACTTCCACTGTTGCTGCTGCTGGCGTTGGCATGAGCATGACCACATGGCACACCTATCTCTTGCTGTCATCTGTTTGGACCTCTGAAGGAGTTTCATACTTTATGACACATGGAGTTTAATTTTTGCTTGCCTTTCTCACTTCCCGCCTCTGTCTTTGGCAGTCAAGTCAATCAACAAGCAATTGATACTTAGGGCATATACGCACATTCTCTCACCCACCTTCACACATGCATGCAGGAGTCTTTAAAAGTGCAACACCTGTCCCCTTTGATGTAGGCAGTGTAGTACTTGCATCCCAGGGAAGGAAAGAAACAGCCACCCTGATTCCCTGAAAATAAGACCTAACCTGAAAATAAGCCCTAGTATGATTTTTAGGATGCTCGTAATATAAGCCCTACCACCAAAATAAGACCCAGTTCAGTGAAACCCCACCCTCCACCCTTGTGCAGCAACCGGAAGAAGATGACATAACTGTATTTGAATAAATGTTGTACATGAAAAAAAAATCCCCTGAAAATAAGCCCTAGTACGTTTTTGGAGCAAAAATTAATATAAGACCCTGCCTTATTTTCAGGGAGACACAGTAACTAGCTACAGAGGGAGAAGGGAAGCTATATTCCACTCTGGGACAAATCAGAAAAATAAAAACAAGGTGGTTGGGAGTGACAAAAAAAGATGCAGAAGCTCACACACAAAAAACTGTTCATTCTGAGACACGACAAAAAACATTGAGATGTCAGGGGAATTTCCAGTCAGCTCCAGGCTTAAGAGGGAACTTATTGTAAAAGGGTGCAAATGCCTCATCTGGAAGAACTCTTAGAAACCTGGGTTTTATATTGTTAGTGTGCTCTCTTTCCCTCTTCTTCGAAGTCTCTCACACAACTTAGGAACTGACAAACAAACTGGCAAACCACTGAAAGTAAGTCAACAATCTGCATGTTTTTCTGTCTATCTTCTCAATTTTTGCTATACTCACCATGGAGCTAGCAGCACTAGGTTATCATTTTGTCTCCTCTTAGCTCAGGATTTCTTCCAGTGGCTATGAGAATTCAGTAAGTTATTTCCCACTGGTAATATTTCATCCTGTAAACTAGAACTAATTTGACCAGTGATCAAATCTCTGATGAAAAAAGTCTAAATCCTGACTCCATCTTTTAAAAGAGATCTCCACTCTTTTCTTGTTCTCAGTCATACATTGAAAAAGAGATACAGTGGTGCCTTGCTTAGCGACGTTAATCCGTGCAGGAAAAAACGTTTTAAAAAGCCCATAGAAACGCATTAAAACGCGTTTAATGCGTTCCTATGGGCTTAAAAACTCACCTTATGCGAAAATCCTCCATAGGGCGGCCATTTTCGGTGCCTCTAAAGCGAGGCAACACAGCAGGCGGCCATTTTGGAACCGCCGATCAGCTGTGCGAAAATGGGGCCTTTGGGATGATCGCAGGGGAGCGCTTCCCTGCGATCATCCCAAAGGCCCCGCCAATCAGCTGTGCAAAAATGGGGCCTTTGGGATGATTGCGGGGGAGCGCTTCCCCATGATCATC